TGCATAAGCAGTGCTACAGCTTATAGCTGTTGCCACAATTTGTGTATGGCAAAATTGTGACAAACTTATAAAATGCATTCTCATGAGCTCTTTTAAATTTCTGGAGACTGGCGTTATTTTAAGAGTGCAGCAATAAACTTTGGTCTTGGCATGTTCGTACTAGTCTTTAACTTGTTAGTTCAGTCAGAATTAAGGCTTTCTCTCAACTAACTGCAGATTCTGTTTTAATGCCACTATCCTCAGTCCTCTGGCAGGGCAGAGCTTACCTCTCACATCTGTTCCTGATCCAGCCTGAGGAGGTCTGATGAATTTAAGGACCTGTGGCTCAGTAGATCTCTGCTGGAACATTTAAGACCTTTGGTCCTGAGTTACTTACCTTTGGAAGTCCTGTTTCATCTCACACCCACAGACTTGCCTTCCTATGAGATCTACAGCCTTGAACCACTTACTTCAGTGCCTTGTCCTCTAACTGCCAGTTCTTGAGTTTCCATCCTGTCACTCTTCTAAACGGGTACTTTATGATAAAAGTGCAATATTTTGCGGCCAAAACAAATTTATGGTGCTCAGGGTGTAACAAAACAAAACAATAAGGGTAATGCAATTTTCAAGTTTGATCTCAGATAAATTTCAGCTTAATGACCAGTTATATATAGTTATATACGTTCAGTGTTTCACACTTCAATAAATTTATAATATACTGATTTTTATGTTGTTTTTCCACCAAGGAATTTATTAAAACGCTATTCTGGCTATGCTGTAAAGTGCACAGGTTTGAGTAGATTTTTTAAAAAGGTTTTCAGTTTTCCTTCATGACTGCTTTACATCCCTGGTGCTTGTAAATACATACAGTATATGTGTCCCTCATAGCCATCAGCAAATATTGGCAGATATGTAAAAGGTTTTGATTCTTGCTCTGACTGTTGTACTAAGGTAACTATAAGCAAAGAGAAACGTGGGACTTACTTGATGAAAATCGATGTGACTGTTAAAATGACACAGGAGACTGTCTGGGTTTGGAAACCATGTGTACAAGACTGAGACTCAGACTATAACCAGTGACAACGACAGGTGGATGCCCTGATTAGCAATATAATGGAGGTCTGAGAGGAATTAGTGTATGAAGAGAGGAAGAGACTATGTATAGAATGAGATAGTCTGAAATAGAATGTGGTCAGTTGTTATCATTGCCTGTTGAAGCTCTGAGGAGGCAGGAAGCAGCCGTCACTGATGCAGTTCCAGGGGCTGAATTCTTCCATGGAAAGGTTTTATTATAGATCAAGTGTCAACTTTGCCATTCTTACTGTACAACATTGTCTATAAATGTTCCGGCACCAGCTTTTATGTTCACAAAAATCATTTAATGAACATCACAACAAAGATAGTTGGGGTTTTTAATCACACCAAAATTCTGGTAAATAATTTATCAAACTTACACCTGGGTAATTATGTTGTTTAAGTGCTACACAGCTGTGTGAAGCTAGAATGTTCTATTTAAAACTCAAACTCTAGAATGTTTTTTCTCTACGTTGTGTGCTTTCATTACACAAAAAATGTAGTTTAAGTACCATTCAGCTCTACCCCAAAAAATCAGTGTAATGTAGTGTTGTGATGAAAGATCACTTAAAATAAAAAAAAGAGAATCTGTGTATTCTTAGAAGCCTAATGCATCAACTCCCATGGGTTGTTTTCCATCAAACGAATGTATCCTTGAATTCTGTAAATAGTCTGTATCTATAAAAGGTTTATCGATTGGTTTGTCTGTTTATAATTATCACCTTGACAGGTGCTAAAAGCAAGTCTCTTTGTAGTTATCATCTAACTCCTGAAAACGACATAAAACAAATAGCTTCTCTGTTTTAATAGACTAATCTAAACTTCAAAATATAACTGAAAAAAAAATCAAGAAAATATCTACATTTACTGGTTTGTGTCTAAATGTATAAACAATAAATTATGGTGCTTTTAAATCCAGGAACATAATAAAGTTATGGTTTTAAGTAGCTTGGCTTTCTTTAAGCCTATAAACAGCTTTGTATTTCTAGGCCAAAACCTTTGTTCTTACTGAAATCCTCTTTAAATAAGACCGTCAATATTCTTTAAAAATGTAGTAAATAATAATGAAAGGGTTGCAGCATGCACAAAATATGTAAGAAAATATACAATGTATCAAAATATTCTTGAACTAGTTTAAGATTGGCTCAAAACAAAGACTACAAGAAACTACACTTGTGAGAAAAGCACAGGAAGTCATTTATTTCACAGTGGAGTTTTCTTTTGCTCCACATTTCTATTTGAGGACTACATCAAAAGTGGAAACTGTGGTAACATATTTCATTGGGTCTTGGACAAGCATCAGTGGTAGTTTTAACCCTTAAAGTGTTTTAAAAATTAAAAAAAAGTGTACGTAACGACTAGTTTCTGGGCATACGTTGGTGGTTATAACTCAGTCCTATAAAGCAATGTGATAATATTACGTATACATGTATCAAAAACAAAAGAGTGTATTCAAATATTTGTTGACCTTAGCAACAGCTGCTGGTAGAGTTGCAGTGGTTTGGCTGCAGTGCTGCATTCTCTAATAACCCCTATTTTGAGGTCTCCTCTTTGAACCAACACTATGGTTAAACTGGCAAAAAAAAAAAAAAGCAGTTTGAGTGTGTTTCTATTATGTGTGCAAGTATACATGTGTGTATATGTTGGTAATTAGTGGTCTAAGCCTAGTGGCATGCCCTTTCATCTTCATAAACTGGATTTAATTGGGTAGAGCAAATTAGGGTATGGTTTGACTTTTTGGTATATGACTAAAAACCTTTTGTTTGTGTGGAGTGAGTCATGTGTTTGGTATAAAATCGGTGCGCTAAACCCAGAGAGAAACTGAGGTACAGACTCTAAAGACACAAACAACAACAAAATAATTTTATTGTTTTCCCTTAAGGAATCTTCCCATGGGATCAATAAAGTTTCATCTAATCTCATCTAAAATATATATTAATAATAATGATAGGAAAAGAGAAGCCAAAACTGTTGTGTTAGACAAGTTGATCATCATCAGATTTTATGGATAAGTGTATGCTAATAGCTACATTAGTCATTTCAAAAAGATCAATTTATCCTATTTTCTCTACAAAAAAAAAGTAATAAAAATACACATTTTTAAAACAACATTGATATATAGCATAAGATGTTTGAATATTATTAAAAGTTAATTACATGTTGCAAAACTTCATTGGACTTGTCTTATGAAAAGCAGATATTTGAACAGACATTATTATAAATGTAGTTAACATAAGATGTGTTATAAAAAAGATTTAAACACAACTATTTGTGTCCAAAGCATAATTAAACCACATAAATTAAAAAAAATGTGATTTACAGACAACAACACTTTAAAAGATGGAGTTGGGTTTGGTGGAAAGGCTCTGAACATTTAATAACCGTACCAGTTGAAGGTTGTTTTTGAAATACCTCAGTTTATTGACATAGAGTTTCATTTGGATTGCTCTCGTGATGTCATGGCTAGTCCAAGTAGGGTCGAAAACAAGTTTAGTTGAAAAAAAAACCCTCTTAACAGATCATGCAAAACCTATTTTATAAACTTTTGCAGCGTAATCAGGTTCGTATTATACCTAAATCTGTCAGAAATGTGATATTCCTGACAGATATAGGCTGCACAGGATGTTCTACAGCTAGCTGCTGCTGCCATCATTTGCACTTGCTAAAACACCATAGATTTATACATAAATAACAGTGTATTGGTGAATTGCCAGCTATGCAAGGTTAATTAAATAAATTATGTTTCTCTCATGGATGTTGTTCTAAAAGCTGTCTATAACAGGTAAGATATTATCTATTCATACATATTCCACAGAGCCCCTTTTATAAAAATCTGAACTACAGCTTTAGAGACATATTGAACTGCTGAGGTAGCTATGCTATAAGTGTTGACAATCTTTTTATTAACATTTATCTTATGATTATCTTGTCTTTTTAATTAAATGTTTATCAGCTTTAAATACAATAGGAACAGCTGTTCTTATTGTATAGATGGCTCAATTTAATATATTATTCATTTGGAGTATAACTTTTATTTTTTAGTGTTCCATCTCTTGTTTTAATGTTTGTTTTTAATCAAATATTTTGGCTTACCCACTCTTACTTTAACACACAGAAACACACTGGGGTAGAAACTCACATGGCTTCAGTTTGTGTGAAAAGTATCACATTCAAACTAATAAGACAAACATGGTTACCCAAAAATGGCCCCAGGGGGATGGTTTGGCACAGGATTTGGCAAGCCATTCATCATCAGACTCGTGTTTCCATAAGTCTGTTTGCAGCCAATGTCAGTGGCTGTTTTTGTGTGTGTGTATCTGTCAGAATTGGTGTAAGGGTAAAGTACAACCAAGTAAAAACAAAGCAGAAGCTTTAATTACTTAAAAACTGATTAGCTTCTTTCTGGAGCTCAACAAAGTGATAAGGGGAAATACACTTGTGAATGAGGGTAGGACCAAGGAGAGGTTTAAGTTGGGGGGGGGTTAGATATGGACTTTAAAAACCAAAAGACCATCAAGTCACAGAACTGAAGCCAAGACTTTGGATACAAACACTCAAAGTGACATGGAATGTGAAGAAAGTGAGAATAGGTTTCCTGTGTGGTCAATACATGACAGATGGCAGATGATTCAGCCCAGCTATCAAGGGTGTGGTATGAGGGGGAGGATGGTGAAGAGCGATGGAAGTGTGCGGCTAGGTAGTGGAAAGATGGATGGTTGGTGGAGAAGAAAGGACACAAGTCAAGGTCCCATCAACCGCATGATATTACTGGCATGCAGCTCTGCCACTTTCCTCAAAAAGCGTGCATCCATGTGTGGAGACAAAACATCAGCGTGAGCTTTACCACACTTTACAGTCCTGAAGATGAGTTAGAGTGGATCAGTCACCACCTGTTCACATCTGTTCAAGTTCTCTGCTTTTAAACGTGTTTTTGTTTGTAGTCCTACCCTGGAGATGGTGAGGGGCATGTTGAAGTCCTTTCCTCCTTGTAGCCTGAAGCCCCAGGGAGCGGGGCTTAACAGGGTGACGCTGTAGTTGCTGCTCATAGTCTCTGATAAAGTTTGGTGTTGATCACAAGCAGTGATGCTGATGGCTGGAAAATAGTCAACAGATCAAATGTTAATGACGATGTGATGTCAGTGACTCGGTGGCTATGAGTTTTAGTTTAAAGGGATACTTTAGATCTATTAAACTGGGGTTCTGTTAACAGGTTAGAGAAATTGAATTTACTTTCTGACAGGTTGCCAAGATAACGCCTCTCTAAACAGGGCTGATAGCTTGGCTGCTTTCCTAAAACAGCCCTTATCTCTTAAATTTTATAGCGGTTCATACAAACACTGTTTATAAAGCTTTGCATCACTGTCAGTATTGTATTACAACAGCTATTCCTGCAGGTATATCAGAGAATTCCTGCCACAAGTGCTCCAGGCATTGTCAAAAGAGCTACAGCCAGCTGCTGTTGACGATATTTGAGCATGCAAGTAACCATACATTTCTATATAAATAACAAAGTAATGTAAAACTTGTATAGTAGTAAAGTTGTTTTAAATGAATGAACTGCTATAAAATGGGGTTGTTTTAAAACAGCAGCAAGACTTGAGTCTTGGACTCAGAATTGCCATTAGCTCATCAGTCTGGTCAAAAATAATTTATAGTTCTTTAAACAGAGGTAAAACACAATAAGCTATTCATAAATGTGATATTTGTTCACACATTTGCACAGAATTTAACTACAAAAGATTTGAATTATAGCTTAAATAGTTTCCAAAATTTGGAATAAAATATGACAGAAAGGTATACTTTGGATCTGTTATTGTTAAGACGATGGAGAAGAGAATAAATGTAACGATGAAGATTCAACTCGCACATGGGAAGTTGGTGAAAATTGAAATAATGAAGCAAAAAAAGACCAAATCAATGTAGAGAAAAATGGAAAATATACATTCAAATGCTAAAAATATAAATGGAATTACTCCATTTGTATTTTCTGAGTTTTAAATGCTTTGAATTGTACATCTGTATGTATGCTCATACATCTGGAAGCACTCTTTTGAGCAATTATTAAGTCATTGTCACTGTTCTGGAGCATGCTGCATGGAGTTAAGCCTGAAACAGACTTACAATAGACTACCCCCTCATTAGAAGACCCTCTCATATTATTATAATTGCAACACATTTTCTGCAATTTTCTGTCATTATGTTGCCTATTTACAGAACGTACCTCTTTGATGGAAATCCCAGAAAGTTTCAAAACAAAATAGCTTCACAAGCAGGTCAGTGTATCTCCAAGTTTCCCCTGAACTATTCCCTTCCCAGCAAACACTGTGTCCCACAGCTACAGAGGGATGCAGTGCTCTTTTATACCAGTTAATGACAGTGGGAGGGGAAAGGTGGAGGAGGGGAGAGAAGAAGGAGGATGTGAGATGATGAATGGGTAGACGCTGGGATGGGAGGAGAAAGGGGATGGGATTAAATGATGGGTGGGCCAAATGAAACGTATGAGGAGGAGAAATGAAACGAGGGGTGAGATTAAAGGTATGAGAGGAGACATATTGGAGCAGGGGGCGACATGGGTGAAGAGTGGATTATGGAAAAGAGCGTGGGAGCACAGAGAAATGACACAACGAGATAGGGGAGGCTTGGGAGAGGGAAGTGTGGAGCAAAGGAGAGAGAGGAGGTATATCTTTCATCTAGATATTTTGGGAACATAGAGGCAAGCCTGCAGGCTGCTTCAAGGTGAGACCAGCCATAACAAGACCAAGACCAGTGAACACAACCCAAAGGTTACGACGAGAAGGGCTCCCTGCGGTCCATGATGTCATATAAACATGGGATTGTCCCACTCCTGTTACATGTTTGTTTCACTGCTGCAGCATCCAAAAATAACACGGAGGGGAACATGTTGTTATTTGATGCTCTCTGTTCCCTTTGGTTCTTTTTAGTTACTAAATATACTGGACAGATCTGCAGTTTTCTTAAATTAATAAATTTTTTTGTTTGTTTTATCAGACAGGTAATGAATCAACCCAGTAAATTAAATAACCTCTGCTGTAATCTGTTTGTTTGTACGTGAAGGGAAGCAGCAGTACACTCACTTCCACTTTATTTATGCATCAGTTTCTTCATTATTTATGTCCAGACAGTTGGCAATTCTGCTCAAGCTGAACTGGATTTTATCCAATCCACCTTTTTTATAGTCCAGGCAGATTAATTTTGACTTTAGGCTGATATGGAATAAGTTAATTTAAACCTGGCACTCAGTCAGAGTCCATCAGAGTCAAATCTTTACTCCAAACTATACTCACTGTTCCAGCCTGCAGATCAGTGCTGATCTACCAAGTAAAAGCAATAAGATTTTAGCAGCAGGTATTTAGAAAAAATATATATTTTAATGGTATTAGACAGAAAAGGTGATTGGAGAATCTTTACAAAAAGAAAAATATACAGATATTAGAAAACAATACAAGCCCTTGTTAACATCCTCTGGGTAGGAATATGACTATTTTCAGCATTTGACTAAAAACATTTTAAAATGTTTAACAATATATTTTTTTTTTCTTTTTTAATACTTGGAGCAACAGAGACACAAAAGTCACATATTTATATAAATATAGATAAGAATATATATATATATATATATATATATATATATATAACTATATTGT